TAGCCAGAAGGTTGGTGGTTCAAACCTACCAGCCACTCAGTGGAAGAAAGACCAGGTGATATACTTCCATAAAGATTTACCACTTCAGAAACCCAATGGGGGTCACTATGAGTTGGAATCTACTCATCCAAATATATTCATAAATATAGTTAAGCATACAGGAGAGAAAGTTATGAAAACTTCTTAGCCATAACCAAACACCTTGAGGGAATAAGTTGCTGGGCATGGAGGCACAAGACCATGGTCTTGGAGGACACTAAGGTCAATAGTCCACAAAGACAACATTCTACGTCCTATGTTGGTGAGTAGCAACTGGGGTCTTAAAAGCTTGAGAGTGACTATCAAAGGTGCAACTCTTGGTCTCTCCTAGTCTAGAGCAAAGAAGAGTAATGAAAATCAAAGATGCAAGGAAACAATTAGTCCAAAGGACTAATGGACCACATGCACCCCAGCCTCCGTGACTCTTACACCAGAAGAACTAGATCGTGCCTAGCTACCACTGCTGACTATTCTGAAAGGGACCACAATAGATGGATAGAGTGGGAGAAAACTGTGGAACAAAACTCAAAAATAATGAAAAAAAAAAAAATGACTAGGCTTACTGGTCTCATAGTAGAGATTATAGCCCTTAGACACCCTTTAAGTTAGTAACTGAACCCACCCCCATGGCTCAACTTGCAGCTGAATGATAGATAAGCCTATAAGGTAAACAATAGTTCCAGGAAGGGATGTATTCATTAGAATGATCAACCACACTTGAACACAAGGGCAGCATTTGGCCAGGGATAAAGCTAAGAAGGCAGGAAGGAATAGGAAAGGACAAAGGGAAATGGTAAACACGAAAAGGAAGTTGAGAAGAGTGCTATTATACTATGGGGATTAAAATGAATGTCACAAAACAAAATGTGTGTGAATTGTAGAATGGAAATACAATTTGCTCTGTAAACTTTCACCCAAATCACAGTTCAAAAAAAAAAAAAGAAAGAAAGAAAGAAAAGAAAAGCAAAACAGCAGAGAAATGCTGTTTAAAGGTTATTAAAAAAAGATCATGAGTCTCTGAAGGCACAGATAATAGTTAGCATTTTTTAGCAGTATTTTTTAATTAAGGTATTTATATACATATATTTTTTAGACATAATGCTATATTGCACATTTCAGAGACTCCAGTATAGTGTAAGGTTTTTTACATACTGGGAAAGGAAAAAATTTGTATATCTCACTTTACCGCAATACTCTCGCTTTACCACGATACTCTCGTTTTACCATGATCCTCTTGCTTTATTGCAGTGGTCTGGAACCAAACGTGCATTTCTGAGATATGTCTTCCTCAACAACAGGGAGGGAGGTTGCACTGCTTCCAGTTTACAGATGAACAAACTGAGGCTGAAGGAGGGCAGGAATGCATCAGCCACACCTCTGGTTGGTGGCAGTGTCAGGCATTCAAAATTGGTCTCCATGTGCAGAGGTGGAGTGAGGAGAAGGCGAGTACACCTGACCCCAGTCCCCTCTCAAAACGGAACAACCTTCCTTGGAGAAATAGAAAGCAGTGACCAACAAAACGAAAAATTAGAAAAGATTCTAAATCTACAGATAGAAATCCAGAAGATTAATACTAAATTGTCAGAAATAGATAACACATTGGAAGGGCAA